AAGAAAGTATTCTGTCTTCAGAAAGCTGTCAAGAAAGCTAGTGATCGTGGCGGAGGGCAATTAAATGCACTTCTTAGCAAGTTGGAAACGGGCCCTCTGTCAATCAATCTCAATATCATACAGTTTTGTATCTTTCTTCCGTGGATTCGCCTTTCTAACGAGGGTGTATGTTGAGTATTCATTGCAAAATCACTTTGTTTTTGTTATTTCCCTCTTTGGCCTGTCCGCCATTTTGAAAATTCGTAACGGAGAGCATGCGCATTACGTGGGGTTAGTGGTTGCGTACACCTGGAACCGAGAAAAACAAATGTTCGTCGCACTGGGGAAAGAGTTTGATATGTTACAGATTGTGACATTATCCGCAAGTATAAAAGTTTGGTATTGCTTTTGTCTACCAAAATTATCCACTATTCGACATTTAGTAATTATGGCCGCAGAGTCCTATCAGCAAAGCTCAGCTGCCGTACAATTAGAAGCCTGATGTGCTTCCTAAACCCGGAGACGCCATCCTGGATTTAGGCTGCGGTACTGGTGAGTTGTCCGCCTACCTTGCTGAACTGGTCGGATCAAAAGGATATGTTATTGTCGTTGATCCTGACCTCAGTCGACTGCAACTGGCTAAGGAAGCTCATCGTCACGTAAAGAACCTCTCTTTCATAGAAGGGAACTCTGACAAATTTGAAGGCATGGGTTCTGAGACTTTCGACATTATTTTCTCTAATTACATACTTCATTGGATACCTGAAAAAAGCAGGGCGTTCAGAAACATGTTTGACAGTTTGAGGGTCGGTGGAAAAATCGCCGCGCAGTACTCAGATATAATTCCACCTTTCATGGCTACCTCGTATGAAGTGTTGAACCCGGAGAGGTTCGAACAATTAAACAATATGTTTCACCCCGTAAAGAGAGATGATGTTGACCTTTTATGCGTGACGGCAGGATTTGACGTTATGAAGAGCTATTCTCCCAAATATACGAGGGATTTCTATCCCAGTGTGGAAAGCCTTCTACAGTGGCTTGTGGGTACTACACATGGAGTTTTCGATCTACACCTTGTAACCCAAGAGAGAATTGAGCTATTGGTGGAGAAGTTTGGAAACCCGCCCTTCGACTTCACGACCAATTCTTTCGACTGTAGACTTGTTGCTGTCAAACCAAAATCCCAAACACTTTAGACGTTTCTAATGTAAGCGGAATAAACCTAAGCAGAATAGTACGATTGTACCTTCTTTTCGTTGAGAGTTACTTTCTCCTTAAGGTTAAATGTCGTAAGAGGTTATATTTGGACGTCACGAGAGGTTACAATGATCAGCCTCAGTATTTTTTGGTGCGGCAAAGAAAAATCAGTCCATGGAAGACTTCGTTCCTGCAAATGCGGTGTATAAATATATGTACAACTTCCTGTAGTAAGCCGAGGTTAAATTTAATAACACTGTACCTTATATTACCGATATCACAAGAGATTGAGAAAATAAACAACGCCCACTTACTAATGCATTTTCCCTTGTACTTTACAGATATACTGAAAATGCTCTGCGAAAAACGCAGGAAATGGCTTTTTCGAGACCCCCAATTTTAAACTCAAATGAGTAGTCGTAGCAGTTATCTTGGTATTTAAACTTCCTGACAAGACATATCATTATTCAGCATAACCTTAGGGGTTACACGTGTGTGTGTCTTGTTTTTTCCTAATTTTCAGAGCTGTTCCAAAGTCCACCATAGTTCTATAGAGTCTCTGTGGCTCACTGGTAGAGCATAGGAGCGCGGAATCAGAAGGTCTGAGGTTCGATTGCTCATGGGGACTCAGACGAAAAACGTCTTTCCCCGCTATTTCTTTGACGAGCTTAAATACTAACCATCTCTCTTATTCTGTTCCTCTGCTGTTCCTAAAGTCGCCCCTCCTGAGACACATTACATAAGTTCCAGCGTCGTATAATCTCCGAGATGTTAAGCGAACATAACATGCACTCTCCCACACAGACTTGCTCAAACTTGTCGCGACCAATACCTAAATAATTTTCTACTATGACCTAAGCGAAATGTTAAACGGAAAACGCAACACTCGATTGCGATGAATGACTGGCATACTTAAGAAAATTGGTACGAGGTACCAACAGTAATAGTGTTCATTCTTCTCTTCCAAGCTGGAGGATACACAACTTACATAGACAGGAGCTATTACTAAATAAAGAAAACAGTCCAATTCAGGACAAGAGGGTCGTGGAGCAAGTACCGACAGATATAACAATTTTAGCTTTATTTGTCTAGACTAGCAATTCTGAGGCAAATTACATTTTACTGTAATGTCTCTTTTTCTGTAGATGTATCTCTTTTTTTTGAAAATCTGAGTAAAAGTCGAAGGCTCATGAATAATCATTGACTATTTGTTGAACCAAACATGATAACGAAACTCGGAGTTAGGGTTGATGCTATCTGATTGTAAGCCGCGTCAAGATTCCACATCCGTTCAGTAGAAACAGATTATCCTAGCCAAACTTAGCTCACTCCTCAGCTGCTTTCGTTTCCTATCGCGCTCCAAATTACTAACCGAACCCACCTGGAACAGGCCAGCTAAAAATAGAATACAGAATAACAGTTTCACGTTGCTATGATGAAGAAATAACCCTTTCTTTCGAGGTAACCGGTTCTATCCATCATCTGTATCGTCAGATACCATAATTATACAATAATTCGTTATTTCAATTCTAGAAGTTTTGCTTAATTTCATCTTTTTTTTTGCCAAGACCGTTCATATTAGGAAGTTTGCGGTCGCGGTCTGGTAATCTTAGAGGCTTATTTGAGTATGCGAGATAAATCAACATGATTGGCTACTGTTTGAATTTAACCTGTCACTCACAATTGAGTGCTCGCTCGTAAACTAAAGTCAAACGCAATTCTCGATTAACGTCTCGTTTCGAAAACTCTTCCAACGAGTTCCCAATCTACAGTTATGTGGGAATCAAATGACAATCAAGAACTAAAGGACAATAATACGGTGAGATATTTTTCAATATGATTTATTTAAAAGCCAAGAAGGAAATCATTTTGCGTAAAATTTCATTTTATCGAACTACTTTGCTTCTCAGCTTTGCAATAGTCCTAAGGAAAGTACACGAAAGCGTGAATTTAAACCTTCTCGTATTTCCGCAGGAGCGAAAAGTTTCTGGAAAGCTGAGAGAGAAGACGAGAAAAAGGAGACCTAGAAAATCGATTACTCAGGTTTGCATTGCTTTTTTAAATGCTTAGAGAGATAAAACAGCCTCAAATCAACAATGCAGCGAACGCGGTTTTGTTGTAGTCACAAATCACAGGTGCGCTCGCATCGCGTTGCATCCAATTTAATGTTTCCCGCTCACCTAATTTTCCTTCACGATATTTAATTGCATACTTCTCCGATCCTACGTAAGCTCTGCTCGTAAAATATACATTTCGAATTTGATTTTTGTGAAGAAAAAATAATTTACACGGGAAGAATCACCTAGTGAGGGTTTGTCTCGATTTGCTGTCACCGCAGTCATATTTGGGCGCCATTTTAAAAGTTTTGCTTTGCGTTATTGCGGGATGTCTTTTAACTAGACCTTATATTACGTACGAGTAACAAAAAGTGTTACTTATTGCCTTTTTTCTTCCCCAATTAATTTGTTATAAACATCCTTTCTCAAATATCAATTATTGTTGTTGTTTAGAACTAGAATGTGTATATAAATGTTATTTTTTCAGTTCACTTTCTTCAATATTTTAACCGCGTGGGCACGCAGCCACTATTCTAAACTAATTTTCTTCGTAGAGCTTAATTTTATGTTCGGTCTAAGATTTCCACACAGCCCTGTACTATTACAAAACAAAGCCATTAATGTCTTCTTTTTCCAAGAACTGTATGCATAACAAGATACAGTGCTGTGCGGAAATCTCATCGTTTTTGTTCTGCGTCCTCATAAAACATAAATCGACAAATCAAACTTAGCTGCCATTATTTAATCTAGTTAGTAATATTTCGTGCCAAATGCATGGGTACTGTGGTTCCACTTCAGTAAATTAACAAGGGGAATATTCTCCTCAACATTATTACTGAATTTCATTGAATAAGTGCCCATGCTCAAATAAGCACCTACCTCCTGGCTGGGCCATAATATGAAAAAAGAACCCCCAATTCTTCCTTCCTCACTTTCCTAAATATTTGGGTTACAAGGAGATCCTGTTTCTATTGCCACTTTATTTGTAAATTTTTAAGCTTGTACTGTAACTGAATCAGTAAAGTTCATGATTACTTAATAAGTGCCCCCTTGATTAAGTACATTCTTTCCCATAAGCACCCCTCCTTTATTGGCCAAAATTATAAATAAGCACCTAGGGCCCTATTTGAGGAAATATGGTATCACTGAGCCTTGTAAAAGTCTGAGAAGCTGCCACTGCTGTCAGTTTTATGTTGGCCCAAACAGTCTCAAATTTTCTTTTATTTTGTTTCTTCGTGATCATTCCTCACCTTCCCTTTTACGACCTTTCTGAGTTTGCAGGTTTGTTAGATAAGTCGCTCAACAGATAGTTGTCTCCCTCAATGTCTTAACAACTGTCTTATTATCTTTTATGCTTTTATTACTTGAAATATCTTATGTCATCAAATCTCACCTCAGAGGTGTGAGTATGCAACCTGTAGGGATCAAAATCTGTGATCTCTCACCAGCTCACACTTGCTGCCCAAGGAAAAACTTGCACCATTACAGACATGATATACACATTTTCTGTGCCAAAATCTATGGAGTATCCTTTAAAATCTTCAGGCGTCTTGTAACATGACCAAGTCCTCTATAGAATATCCCCAATTTCAAAAGAAAATTTTCCCTTCTTTGATTCTCAAAAGGTTGGTAGGTTTAATCACTGTATGGACCAGAATGATTGAGAGAATTTATTGAAATCCTCCAATTCCTCTCTTTCAGTTTTGAAATTCCTCTTACCTCTAACTGACTGGCCACTGATGTTAAAAGAGGGCAGGATTTTTCTGTCACCCTGGGTTTGCAATTTTTGTGTTCTTAGTTTGGCTGTTAAAGATTTAATCCTAGGAACAAATGGGTTCTAATTTCTCCTTTATTATCCGGCTTGAATGTAATGTAAAGGTCATGAGAATAAAGGAATTGATCACCAGGTTTAAACACTCTTGATTATCAAACAAATTCTCCTAGTCAGTACCATAGGAAATGTAAAAAGGACAGTGTAGAGAATGTGAACTCTAATGTAAGGGTGTAAATGGTAAGCTGTAATAAGTGCATTTGCTTATCTGGAATAATCCAATGTAGCACATTTTCTTTCAAATGTACCAAATATTTCAGACTACTTTAAAGCACTCTTAGTGGCAGGTAAAACAGCTGGTCTGGGAAATTGTGTTTAACCCCTTAACTTCCAGATGCGATTAACAAGTAACTTCCCCCTATGATATCCATGCAGTATCCAGCAAACAAGTAATGAGAATACTCAAATGTGTCATGTAGAAGTTGTTTTCTTGATCTAACACCAAATTCTCATAACTAAAATCTATATAGCAGAAAATATATAGCAGCTAGAGGGGAGAATTAACAATCAGATCTTGGGAGTTAAAGGGTTAAATAAGATACTCTCTTTAGATGACATACTTATTCCCCTCTAATGGTGGATCATGGTTAAACTTTCAACTTACAATGAAATTCATTGCCTATAGCTCTTAGAGGCAATGCATTTGAAAGTTAATCTTAAAAACCTTAAGATTAATTCAAGTTTCCTGTCTCTTCCTGGCTGCCAGTGCAATGTTCAAAAGTTTCAAAGGTGACACAGATTGAAGAAGGAGAATAAAAACAAAGCCTAAATTGTGGGGGTTTTTTTAGGAAATACTCAAAAGAAACCTTGGAAGGAAAACCTTAAAAACCAAGTTGTGTAATATGCAAATCATGTGGTCAGACACTTTCTTTCCAAAATTGTCCAAAGAAAGAGAAGTGAGAAAGAAGATAATGGGGAATTTGTTAGGGTGTCAGAGAACCAGATATGACAATGCCAAAGAACTGGGGTGCTGTGATCCCTACTGTTGTGAGATGATTTTTCATACAAATATCATAATTCAGGTTTAGGAAAAGGTGCCACCTCCCCTTGTCTACAGGGCAAAAATTCGTTTCCAGTGTTTGCTGGTCCTTGTTGGTTTCTTGAATTGTAGCCCCTTGATACACAAGGAGTAACAGCATCATAAGCTACTTCACTCAAGCTGAGCAGAAATTGGTAACTGTGAACCTCCTTTGAAAAAACCCCAGTGATACCTCAGAGATTTACAGCTCAGTGGTTACAAGAGCTGAAAACTCTACTCCCTGTTGTTCAATATTATGTTCTGTAAGTGACTAACTTCTGGGAATTAGGTTGTTGCGTAGTTCAAGGAGCTTCTGGGAAGGGACTCTCCCCTTCCCTCTAGTATGATAAGGTAAAAATTTACAAGATCCATCAAACCCACTGTGAAAATAAAATTAATTTCCTTTCCAAGCTTTCAACTAACCAGCCTTTTTTTTTTTTTCAATTTCTTCCCTCATCAACACGTTTCTAACTGTTGATTGTTAATATTTACCTTAATTAGGCTACAGCAGCAGAGGAACAGCGTGCCCTGCAGTCACCTCCAAGACAAGGATCTCTTTCCCAACAAACACCATCACATACTCTACAGACAATTCTGCAGCCTACGAACACAGTATTGCAACCTACAGAAACTGCCGGTGAGCCACTACATACACTGCCTCAGTTGATGCAGTTGGTACAGAAACTGCATCCACTATCAGGGGGGGATCAAACAGTAAAAACAGCGCCACAGCTGCCAACAAGTCAACCTTTACAGGCATCACTGCAGCTCCAAGAAGCTGCTCATCAGACTCAACCAACTGTGTCTCAGTCTTCACAAATGATGATGCAATCACAGATCACTACATCCCAGCCCCTACAAGTTTCTATGCGGCCTCTAAATACTACACCACAGCTTACCCACACAGTGTCACACTCTTCTCAAACAATTTTGCAGCCCACACAAAGTTTGCTTCAACCGCCACAAAGTCTGCTACAGGCTTCACAGGCTTCGCTTCAGCCTCCTCAGACACTCTTTCAGCTTCCACAGACCGTGCTCCAAGTAGCACCCCAAACTCTGCAAACCGTGCTTCAGGCTCCAAATAATACTCTTCGGGCTCCGCAACCGGCAGGGCAGCAACTTCCGCGCTCTGGACCATTGGAGAGTACCCCATCTTTAGCTTCACTCGCCCAGTTCACTCTCCCTCCAAATCTGTTTCCCTCACCGTTGTTAAACAGCGCTATCCAAGCGCCTCTCCAGCCTTGCCTCCTGTCTTCTCATACATCTCCTCATTCATCCACCATGAGTATGCTTAGTGCTCTTCAAGATGATAAACTTGCTTTGATCCTTCCAGTGTTAGTGAGAATGGAGCATAAGATAGATCAGATTATGGCGATTATCGGCGCTAAATCCAGTGTTGGAATAAATGGGCTGCAAACAGAAAACAAGTATAATCCCAACTTGATAGACAAACAGTGCGAAAGTGGCCCAAATTCTGTCATGACAGGAAACGGATCGATTGAATCAAAGACGGAAAGTCATTCCACTACTGTTACGATGGTAAATCAGTTAAATACAGATAACTTAGCTAACCATTCGAATATACCTTTGCCAGGAAAGCAAAAGAAATGTTTTACGAAGGGAGACCAAGCGGTGAGCGCACCTATCAAATCTCAGTCAAAAGAAAGCCAGTCAACTGCGTCAACAACAAATTATAAGCGGTCTAATGTTAACTTGACTGAATCCCACTCGAGTGACGGAGCGATGGAGAACAGCGATACAGACACTGCTATGGAATCTATTAGCGTCGAAGCTTCCAGTTTAACTTCCTCGTGTAACGTGACGAATTTGCATCCTGGTTTATCGACAGCTCAAGGCCGTCTGATTCAACGTAAAATGGCAAAAATAACTGAGCTTACGCTGCCTGAAAATTCAAACTTTCCCATTTCACGTGACAATATTATTGCGATGCAGGCAAAGTCCACCTCCACGATGAATTTTGCCGTGCGCCTGATGCGCGAATTGTTTACCTTGGAGGAACTTGATGGGAAGAACATTTCAGGAGCCAGAGGGAAAGACAGAGTCGACCCGAACAGAGTGGAAATCATTAAAGAAATTGTCTTCCAGGTTTATCGTACATTACCGTCTGACAGAGATATGGTGTGGAGGTGCTGCCGCAAGGCGATGGATTCCTTTATGCGTCGCATGAAGCGGGAGCGTACGCTGAAAAGCAAAACTAACTCTGCTGCAACTATTTAACGTGAATTTTTGATACAGATCCAACTCGTGGCTTATCATTTCCAAAGTGCTTTCAGTACGAGATCTTTATTATTTTTCCTATTTGTTGACTTCAGGATTCTTCCTATCTCCATCATCATCCTCTTTATTTTCTTTAAATAGTTTGGAAGAAATGTAAGTTGGTTGTTGTGAAAATACGAAATGGAAAAAAGGAGCTTTTGTTTCAAGAATAGTTAGGTGCACACCATCTTGAATTTAGTTTTGGGCCGGGCAGTTTTCCCGCAACTTCCTCTGCGTTGTATATTGGGAACATGCAGAGGAGATTATTGTTTTTAACAGCTCCTTGTTTCGATTGGTTGAAGTCAATATTGGTTGAATGAACTTTGTGAGGCGACTCTGTTACTTGGCTTGACTTGTTTGACTGATACAGTTTCGTGCATAAGACTATTAAATGATTATTCGGCAATAATAACAGAGTCTGAGCAGAACAATTGTTTTAATATGATTGTACTCGGGTGATTATTAGAGCAACTGCATTTTCTTTCACTTTACTCGTTTTCTTCTTAAAATCATTACGAATTCGGGCGAGGGCCATTTGAAACTGAGTGCTTCACATTGCATGGTGATTATTAACAACTATATTTACCGAAGTGAAGTATCCAGCTAGTGCTGGATGTTTACCGAGCCACGAAGCGGCGAGGTAAATATCCACCGCTTGCCACCGACCCTAATATATCTTGCTTGACCTCGACCTGCGTTATCTCAGGTGGTTCTGCCAATTTCGTTTCATTTCATTTTTTTCGTTTTAACTTTCTTCGCCGATTTCAATCCCGTTTTCACTCTTCATGTTATTTGCGCTTGTCTCTGAACTCTGCTTTGAGTTGTGGATACGTTCGATGTTCTAGGTTTCATTTCTTAGTCGTGTCAGCAAAAATTCTTTATTCATGACGCCTAAATCAAAATGGAGAGCAAAATTTCATTTTCGTTGTCTTCAAAATAAAAATGAACTGACAGTCTTCTGCTCTTCACTTTGATTTTAACGTCAGGGATAATGAAGTTTTGCTCTCTATTTTGAATTTAAATCAATAAAAAAATTGGCCGAGCTACCCTGGATTCCTCACTACTGTGAAATTTTACCAATGCAATATTGCAGCTTATGATGCAACGCAAGTTTTCGGATATAAAGCCTCGAAATATGGTGAAAAGTATGATATAGTCGACTCAGCAACTTTGGTAATCGTGTGCTTGATTAGTCGCCAATTTCCCACTTTCTTTTGTGACGTCAGTATACCTTACATCCGGGTCCTTTTCACCGTCGCCTGGTGGCATAATGATGA